AGCAGCACTAATTGAAGGCATTTTTCAGAGAAGGTTCGATCCAACTGAGAAAAATTGAGGTATACACAAAAAGAAATAGAATAAATGAACCATTTTATGGGATAAAATTTAATGCAAATATCAGTTTTACAGAGTTTTAGAATGCACAGAATTAAATCCTGTCAAAGTGGGCAGCCAATGCAACTTGTCCCACTTTATTGTTATGGTCACTCCATTTGAAAGTAGTTGGTTCATTAGTTGCTCCATATTATCTTTATTCCAGTGATGGTTACTTTTCTTGAAATGTCTTAGATTCTTTCATGTCAAACTCTAAAGCCATCTTATTTAACATATCTGTGAAAGAAGTTTTGACTATCCATCAGAGCAAGGACATATAAGTGACTACACCTACTCACTTATCAACTATCTCATTATCTGACATTTCACATTTATGATAACAATACAAAATATATCCAGCTAGTTGAGCATTGATAACATACATCTGTCAGTAATGAATGCCAAGGTGTGAGGTGAAAGGAACACTGGCTATGATGGTTAAGGTCATGTGTCAACTTGTCTGGACCATGATTCTTAGTGGTTTGGCAGTTACGGAATTTTGTAATTTGGCAGTTAGGTAATGATGTAGTCATCTTCCATTTTGTGAAAAGATATGGTCATCCTCCATTTTTTAATGCCAGTTTTCACATAATAACCTTGTCTTTGGAGCATAACAATGCCTGTAAGTGAAGAGTGAAGGTATATAATACATCATAGCTGTTTAATGGTACTTTTGTTTTTGTTTTTTACTTCAAGAAATATTAAAGTAATCAAATGGTGGGAGCCAAGTGGAATTAGGATAATGAGGGCAACAACATATAGGTAATAGCCAAATTTGTACTATTTTAGCTGTTTGTTATTGTAGCATATAAGTCAGTCTTTCACCACACAGAATTATTTCAAGTACACCACAAATGAACCATAGCAGCAATGGAAGAAAATTTAATAGGAATATCAAGGAAATTATACCTCGGAATTCTTCTGACAAATCATTTGAACTTTGCTTTTGTAGTTTCATATCACTAGAATAGCATTTAAGAGAGACTCAGCTTTTCTACATACTTTTATTTTAGGATTAAATTGCTTTGAAACTATAAAATGAACTTGGCATTTTAAAAAATTTTTCATATCTTTAGATTTTTGAAATTTTTGTTTTTGCTTTTACTTTCTCTGATTGTCATGATTCTGTCCTTCTAACTGTCCAACAACTATGTTTTGCAGATAAAAGGCATCACTTAATAACACAGGCACTAGTGAAAGTTGTAGGGAATTTTAATTATTTGTATCTGCTTCTGTTGTGCTATCCCTATTGATTTCCAAACTAACCATACATTAAACTTAGTCCCCAGATATTGGGGAAGGGTAAAAGAAAATAAAACGATCATTTGTTCTTTTCTATTTTTTTTTTAAACTGTGATTTGGGTGCAAATTTACAAAGCAGATTTTTTTTACACTCAATAGTTCATACACATTTTATTTCATGGCACTGATATCATTTGTTCTTGATGAGAACAAGTAAAAGTACTTGTTGAGAAAAGTAAAGCCACATAAATATGTGTTTGTAAGGCATATTTTTCTCTGAATTACTGCGTTAAATTCATCACACTGCAAAAAACTGAGCAGTAGCTACTAATATGCATATTTAGTAGCTAAATTTTTGTACAAAGTTCATTTAAGGAATTATATTCAACATTTCCAAAAAAAACCCTTTTAATTTCAAAGAGAAAAATAAATTCTCAAGTGTTAAATATAAGAGTTGTGATAAAAATCCAGAAATTGAGGTTATTTAAACAAACATGCACTCTTGATACAGACAGAGTTGAATTTGTTATACACTGGTTGAGAAATTAATTACATACATTCTGACATATTTATATTATCAAGTGTAAACTCTTTTAGGACACAAAGTTTTGCTTTCCTGGAATATAAAAAGTAATAAATATTTGTTGAATAAATTACTAAACCTTCAGGAATAAATATTCCTTCCAGATTTTTAATATTTATATTTGTTTAAGCTTTGAAATGGTATTGTTTTTTTTCTTCAATTTTTCCCTTTTTTTAAAAAATTTAAGCCTCCAAATAAATTTTAAGTGATGAAACAGATTTGAAAATGTTTTATTTGATTACATTATTAAAGATAGAGCAGATTTAGAATGGAATTGGAAGAAGGGGACTCTTTGGAATGAGGTCACTTTCTTAATTCTTCCTGTTGTGTAGAGATATTGCAACATGTGTGCAACATTTTTTTAAATGGTCTGTAGTATTCTTCTGCCAGTTGTAATAATATGTAATACCTAAGGGTAAGATAAGAATACAGGGGTATAGTTTTAATTCCAATTGCCATTGCTCCATTTTTTTTGTTTGCTTATGTTTGCATGGTATTTATAATTTTTTTTCTACATGTCCTAATTCACAGTGCATAAGATACACATATATATGTATGCATAGTCAGTATCAATGGAGTGTTTTTATTCTCACATTCATTAAGGAATATAAGGCCAGTAATTCACAAGAGACTGAATCTTGAGAAGGTTTCTTTATTACCTAATCCCAATGCTCATCAATGAGCAAATGATGCTAAAAATACAATACCACAGACAATAGCTTTTTGTGTTGTTTACTAGAATAATGCTTTCAGCATTGGTATTGCTCACTATTACACATAATGTTTTAGAAATGGCACCACCTACTCAATGCAACAAGGTATTTGGATCTGTAATATATCCTTTTAAAATTTTGATTAAAAATTTATAAAATTGAGATTTTGATGTTTACCTAGCTCATACTTACTTCTATTCATGACCTAAACAATCTCAATTTTTACAAGTGCATTTATTGTATTGCTGATTGAAAATAGGAAGGTTTCT